TAGGAAGAGTTGTTTATATCATTAATGATACCCCAGAAGAAATCCCTTGTCTTCCAGCATTTCCTCCTACAGCAGTGATTCCCAACCTTGGTGACCCCAAACCATAAAATTATTTTCATTGCTACTTCATAACTGCATGTTTGCTACTGTTATGAATTGTAATGTTACTGTCTGTGGTTCCCCATGGTCTTAGGTGACCCCTATGAAAGGATCATTCTGTTGGAACTCCAAAGGGGATGTGACCCCCCAGGCAGACAACTACTGTCCTAGATTTAACCTTGGTTTAAATAGAAACGAAAAATTGGCTCTCTTCCCTGCTGTTCTTCTGAAGAGGCAAGCAGGCATTTCCCTCTCTCTACCTCTCTCTGTCTCTGTCTCCCCCTTAACTCCTCTCTGCCTTCCTCTCAATAAACTCCACACTCAAATAAAAAAAAAAGAGAGAAAAGAAAAGAAAAATTGTTTTCCAGGATGCGTTTTATGAGAACAAACTCCTAAGCATCTTTGGTGTGTGACAGTTGCCTCAATGGCAAAGTCAGAAAAAAAAAAATCAATGAATGAAAAAAAAGGAAAGAGCTAGAAGCCCTCAATAGAGAACCATGGGGTAGAGGCCAGAGCTTGCATTGTGAGGAGCTACGGATCTGAGTGCACCACCAGGCCAGCTCTCAAAAAATTATTAAAAAAAAAATTAAACAAAAGCGCAGATGTGAACCATTTGCATATTTTGTGGTTTAAATGCTTCTACTCTGACTAAACTTTTGCTACCAGCAGTTGATAAGGGCTGAGAAATTTTCCGCAATTTAGCAATCAGCTCTGGCACAAGTGAGCTGGCCTGAGCAGAGAAATGGCAGCAACAGATGCCAAGAAGTGCTTCCTGGCCAAGAACTAAGTTCACAGTACCCCTGGGATCATGACTCTCTCCTTGGTTACCAAGTTTTTCTTAGCATTGTGTTCTTAAAGGCCCCGTCACTACACTTTACTTTAGAGAGTTGATAACTATACCCTGTGATTCAAGAATGGTTTTCCCAGTAAGAGATCGAATCAAGTGAAGTAGATCACTCCTGTGACAGTCAGCTCTGTTCCCAAGGTACTTTTCCTTCAGTGAACCCCAGTCACTTTTGGGAATTTAGCATTTCTGTGCAGTGAGTATCTTCTAAAAGGGACACTAAAAGCTGCACTCTAAAATATGCTAACAGAATCCAAACATTAGACCCCCCCCCACACACACACGAGAAAATGCTTGTCATTAGCCACTAAAAAGTAGTCCTCCAGAATTATTTTTCATGTTTCATCTGCATAAAGTGACCATAGACCCGACGTTACGAACGAGGAAAATGGCATGACCCTTTGTTGCCATCCTGTTGACCTCTGCATGCTGGATCAGGCTGTTTCTCCTCTGTAGCTCCTCTTCACTGCCTAACAACAACAGAGCTTACCTGAAGGTAATTAATTACGTTCAGCAACATCTGTGCTGAGACTGAGCAAACTTGAATTTTGAAAGGAAATCTTCTTTGGCAATATTTCAGTGTGTTGAGTCATGAGCCTGACAAGTAGCTACAACCCATGAAGCAGCATTTCCTCGGGGAGAGCCTGCGAGAAGGAAGTGGGACTGAGTTAGTTTGGTGTGTGGTGCGCTCTGCACTTCCACACCCCAGCCCACAGCCTCATTATACAAGTTTCCTCTCTACTCAGTTCAAGCCCAGTTTCCAGGATTCCAGGATTCCGATGCAAAGATCAGACTTTCCGGATGACATGCCCAGACATACTCCAGAAAATCAGGAGTACCTGGATTTCAACTTTCTCTGGTGATGCGAAAGTGGCCTCTCAGGAAATGACAACAGCCCGTGGCAGTTAGTCCAGGAGCAGTGAGCAACTTCTTTCATGATTGATAACAGCAAGTTGGGAAACCAATTTCCAGTCACTGAAATTCCCATCTCTTCAGGCAGGAGAGCTGGCTCCGGGTGTCACGAGAGTTTGAGAGACAGCGACACATGGGAGAAATGACCCTGCACCTGCCTGGGCAGCACACTAGAGTTGACCCTGTTGGCAGGGGTGCAAGTGAGCCTGCCCCGAGAGCATGAGAACAGGAGAGATAACCCCGCCTCCTTCATCTGCCACGTGGTGGCATGGGTGAGGGATAGATACCCTCACAACCCTTGCCATCTGCCGCAGCAGGAGAGCTGACCTTGGCAACATGAGAGAGGGCAAGCTGGCCCTGAACCTTGCATGGGCAAAACAGTATAGCCGGCCCTGGTGGTGTGGATGCCAGTGAGTCAACCCCTAGAGCCTGAGAACAGAACTGGCCCTGCTCCTTGTCTGATGAATGAGGGGGCCAGGGCAGTGCAGGAGAGCTCACCCTGGTGGTGAACTGCTGAAGCATGTAAGGGAAGAAGCCCTGTAGATCTGAAACTACAGGATCTCTAGGACACAAGGCAACAACAGAATATCAAGAAGAGACCCAGTGAGAGCCCACTATCAAGGGTGAAGCAGAATCAGAGGCCATAACCCAGATGAATGACTCATTGCAATTCACACTTACAAATAAAGATGCATGGACCAAAGCAAACACTATGGAGCTCACTGGGTTGCACTGCGGCTTCCACACCAAGACTTGTTCTGCTTTTCTTTTCTTTTATACTTTATTTTATTTTGGGGCGGGGGTGGAAGTTGAAATGTCAGAGGGCAGATATGAAGGGACAGGAAAATGAATGGGATAAGGATGCATGATGTGAAATCCACAAAGAATCAATAATAAAAGTTTTACACAATTCCCATCTCTTAGGATATAAAACATGATAATTAGTTATGAAAGAGACTTGCTTGATACCAGACAAAACTAACTGTCTTAAAGCAAATGAGAAACAGGGTGTATTATGTTCTTAAACTACAAAAACACATACACATATACATGCAGGCAGACATACATACATTGAAAATAAAAAAAAAATACTGGCCTCTCCTTAATTCTGTGTATGGCTTTCTCATCTAGAGTCTTAAGCATTAAATATGCTATATCTCTAATTCATTTCAAGATAGATGAGAATTCGCTCAATTTATAATTGAGAAAGCTCATACAACAGAGGAAATCTGCTTGATTCCCAACCTCTTGATGTTTTATACTGCTCGTATAGGCAAATGGCATGTAAACAATTGCTTCTCTGACCTACCAGCAAGAGATCTTAGTCTCGGAGAACAGGGATTTGCCTAAGGGTCAAGGAATAGCTAGAACTTCGGGGAAAGGAGAGTATACTGAAGCCTAAATGGCTGTTGCACTATTAGAGAATAATCCATCATCCTGTGTATGGACTGCATGCAAGAACTGGGGCAGAGTCACATGACAAAGAATAGATAATACTTCAGACAGAGTTTTACTCCTGATAAGAGTCCCCTTTATTTTTTACTATAAGAAGTATTCTGATAAAGTACGGATTTGGTTCTATCGATCACTCGCCTATGTGAAGACATTCAAAGTGGTACACACTCTATTGCGCACAGTGTAGGACCTAAATCTCTTAATGGGGCATAAGCATTGCTCTCCTAACCTGTAAATTGGTATATATTGAGTCTCTGCAATAAATTGAAATGTTACTATAAGAAGCGGTTACAGTATTTCATTGACACACAACTTCAGCCCCGTCATGTATATAAAAACATGCCAAAAGGATGTGGCTTTACCAGGTGATGCTGATAGTACTGGAAGTTGTCATGTTTAATTATAAACAGTCTGGCTTGTTGAATATATTTAATGACTTTTTTAAAAAAAATCAAAATTAGCACAATACGTTGAGTTAACAAACAAGTATTTTCACTGATTTATTCACTTCATCTCAGTCTCTCTGTCTGTCTGTCTCTCTCTCTCTCTTTTGTGTGTGTGTGTGTGTGTGTGTGTGTGTGTGTGTGTGTGTGTATGAAGATGTATGTGCAGTTGCTGTGGAGGCCAGAAAAGGGTGTGAGATCCCTTGACCTGGAGTGACAGGTGGTTGTGAACCATCCCATGTGGGTGTTGGAAACCAAACTCTGTTCCTCTAAAAGAATAGCAGGTGCTTATTGCAGTGGTATTTTATTTGTATTTTAATAAATAAAGTTATGTGGTATTCCCCTCTGTATGCTGTGAATATCATTGGTTAATAAAGGAACTGCTTTGGGCCTATAACAGAGCTATAGGGGAATAGGGCTGGGGGGGACTAAACTGAATGCTGAGAGAAAGGAGGTGGAGTAAGGAGAAGTCATGTAGAGCCTCTGGAGAAAGACGCTGGAGCTTTAGCTGGTGAGCCACAGCCATGTGGCGATACACAGATTAATAGAAATGGGTTAAATTAAGATGTAAGATTTAGTCAATAAGAAGCTAGAGCTAATGGACCAAGCAGTGATGTAAATAATATAGCTTCTGTGTGATTATTTTGGGGCTGAACATCCGGAAACCAACAAGCGGCCCCTCCTTCAACAATAAAGCTTTCCTGAAGATCAGAAAAGTAAAACAACCACACTGCCAGTCTTAAAGACCAGGCAGCATGGCACACACCTTTAATCCCAGTAGCCATGCTAGCCTGTCATAGAAGCATGGTGGTACTGGTGTGATGGAGGAAGGTCATTGGCTAATAAAGGAACTGCCTTGGCCCATTTTATTGGTTAGAGGATAGGTGGGAGGAGTAAACAGAACAGAACGCTGGGAGGAAGAGGAAGTGAGCTCAGAGTCTCCACAGCTCTCTCTCAGGCATCTGCTCCCAAGAGGAGAGCTGTCGAGACTCTGACCTCACTTCCTCTTCCTCCCAGCGTTCTGTTCTGTTTACTCCACCTACCTATGTCCTAACCAATAAAATGGGCCAGGGCAGTTCCTTTATTAGCCAATGACCTTCCTCTATCACTGGTGCACGCCTTTAGTCCCAGTGATGCATGCCTTTAATTCCAGTGATGCATGCCTTTAATAATCTCAGCCCTAGAGAGGAATATAAGATGGGAGGAGACAACTCTCAGTCTCAGTCTCATTCTGAGGTTTTCTGGAGGCAGGATACGATTTTTTTGGCTGAGGTCAAGGTAAGAGCCAATGACTGGCTGCTTTGCTTTTCTAGTCTTCAGGTTGAACCCCAATATCTGTCCCTTAATTCTTGTTAATTATGCATCATCTCATAATCACTTAGTCATACCGCCAGGCTCACAATTGGTAAAATTTTAATTTTACATAGTAGGAAGTGGGATACAGTGATAAGGTATGGTAATTTTACTGTTTTCTTCATCTCTCTTTTGTGCCTGTCAGAAGAAACATCCTTAGTTAGATAATATAACAAATGGATGTGACCCAACTGACTGAAAGTTTCAAGCAAAATTTTCTAAGTCAGCCAGTGCTGGTGCTATGTTAGTCGTTGATTTCTGCTGCAAACATTGTTACACTGCCACCGTTATCAGCAATGGCATCAGGAGTAGGCATTCCTGCCCGGAAAAGGCCAGGCTGTGCAACAATTTACTGTAGCTCACTGCTGTGCAAACTTGTAGGGAGTGATGAAATCAGAATACCATGTGCTTCAATTTACTATGTGTTTTCTCCCTGACTGGAAATATTCAGCAGAGCAGGCCCACAGCTGGGAGCTTATGCGTGCCATGCCATGTTTAATGGGTCTTCTTCTTCTTCTTCTTCTTCTTCTTCTTCTTCTTCTTCTTCTTCTTCTCCTTCTCCTTCTCCTTCTCCTTCTTTTCCTCCTCCTCCTCCTCCTCCTCCTCCTCCTCCTTCTCCTCCTCCTCCTCCTCCTCCTCCTCCTCCTCCTCCTCCTCCTCCTTCTACCTGAGACATTAGTTTATACATTTGATCACATGTATAAAACACAAAAGTAGCACAAAGCAATACTTAAGTGAACAATTGACACAATGCATTGTGATATAATCATTAACAAGAAAGTCCAGTCTATCATGTGTTATTCCATTATATTTAAAAACTGGTATAACCCACAGGGATTAGTTCAGGAAACTATAATGTGGACCATAACCTATGGTTATAAAATATTGATCTGGGATCTTCTTGATGACAAAGTGTTGACCGAGGTTTTTGTCTCACCTGGTCCCTCTATGTTAGCCACGCCCTCCACAGCCATTTAGTCCCAAATAAACACACAGAGGTCTATATTAATCATAAACTGATTGGCCTAGTATCTCAGGATCTTCTTATTAACTAATTTTTATAACTTTATATTAGTCCATATTTCTTGTCTATGTTAGCCACATGGCTTAGTACCTTTTTTAGTGAGGCAGTAACATCTTGCTTCTGTGGCTGGGTCACAACGGCGTACTGAAACTTCCCTCTTTTAAGAATTCTCATTGCTCCACCTCTACTTCCTGCCTAGTTGCTCTGCCTATACTTTCTGCCTGGCTACTAGCCGACCAGCATTTTATTAAACAAGTACAAGAAACAAATCTTTACAGGGTAAAACCATTGTCCCACAGCAACAAAGCTAAGCTTCTTCTTCAGTCTGTATTGAAATTTCCTTTTTACTAGTGTCTTCTTCTACTCTGAAATCCAATAAAGAAAGATAGGCTGTCTAGACCAGCTAGACCCTTCAAACACCTTTATACTCAATCTGAATTTCAGCTCTTGACCTGGTGTTGGGCATTCCTGGTAATTTCAGAGTTGAAGCATTTGGTGTTGCAATCATAAAATAAATAAGAGAATTCTCTAGTCTTGTTTCTGTTGCTATAGCAGAATATGACAGACTGAGTAACTTATAGGTTGAAGGAATTTGCCTCTTACTATTCTGGAGGTTGGCCATACAACAAAAAGCAATAAAAAAGCAAGTGAACAGGTGAGGTAGAGAAGAAGAAGGAAACTGGTCCAGCTCATTTGTTTTTTTTTACCCAGCCACCCTCTGTGCCTGTTACAACCAACCTACTTCTGAAATGACAGCGTTAATCCATCTACTAAGGTGGCACCTTGGTGACCTAACCACCTCCATTAAGACTTCACTCCCTCAACACTGTTACCAAGAGAATTAAATTTCTAAAGGGGCTTGGAAGGAGACATCCAAAGCCCAGGAGAGGGTCTTCACTAGGCTGCTGGAACTCTGGAGGAATACTATTATCACGCTCATACATTTCTGTGTGGGTTCCCAGGACAAACTGGATAGATAAAAACAAAAACAATACCAAATCACACAGACTTGCTACAGATTTTTCATTTTGGCCCTTCCTTCCAGTCATTGTTTTTCCTGTCTAAGCATAGTCTGGCTTTAAGCCCAGGATCAGAGTCAATCTTGGATCTGAATGTAACTCCCCTTATGAGCCTGTAACTTCACTTCTGAAAAAGTGTGTTTCCTTCTCTATTCATGGGTCAGTACCCTGAAAACTATTCAAGATGACATTATGAGAAGCCCAGGCCCTGCCCTGATGAAGAATTGCTATCTAGTAAGCAATATTCTCTTTCCTTCTCTTGGTGTTTTACCACAGTTCCTAAACTTAGTCTCTAGTGGCCACAATCCCTGTGCCAACAAGACCCCACTAAGAGACCCAGGGAAGCAAAAGCCTTTTCTTCAGAAAGACCAAACTTAAGGTTGGTGCTACAGCCAGCAAAGGAAAAATGAGCACAATAAATAGAAATGCATTTCACACAAAATCAAATGGAAAAGCCCACAGACTGTAAAATATTTCTTACCTTTGTGATTTCCTGAAGATGGTGAGTACATCTGGTAACAGAAGCTGCCTTAACTCTTTCTTTTCTTTAGTGAAAAACCAAAGGATAACCAGACTACATAGCTGTATCTGTTTATCTCTTCACCGGGCCCGACAGACAAGAGATTGGTAGTAGCCCTGCAGAGTTTTGTGTGGGTAGCTGCAAAACTCAGAGGCAAAGGAGTTGTGGAGCAACAACAGAGTCGGTGCTACCTATAGTGATATTTTATTTAGGTTTTATAAATAAAGCTTGCCTGAAGACCAGAAGGCAAAACTAAGAGACTAGAGACCAGGCAGAAATGTCACACACCTTTAATTCCAGGATTTGGGAGACGGAAGCAGATGGATCTCTGTGAGTTCAAAGCCCCCCTGTGCTACACAAAATTAATGCAGAAACAGATCCAGGTGGTGGTGGCTCACACCTTTAATTCCAGTACTAGGGATTCACGTGCCTTTAATCCTAGCACTAGAGAGGAATGTAAAGCAGGATGAGGCAGGAACTTGTTCTTTCAGTTTGAGGATTTCTTAGAGGTAAGAACTCTCTAGTTCTTTGCTGCTTTGCTTTTCTGATCTCCAGACTGAACCCTAATATCTGTCTCTGGGTTTTTATTATTTGTGCTACAGCTACCAAGGTGCAGTTACCCACTACCCAATTGGATTCCTCTTCTATTACGTAATTGGAAATACCACATCCCAATCCCGGCAGGTTTGTCTTTACATCTGTTGCAATTGTTTGTTTAATTTTCCATCTGTTCCTCTAGAAGAGCAAACACTGAGTGTCCTGGTGTAGCTTTCATCTAAGAAAGAACTGTGCCACAGTAGATGTTAAAAAACAAAACAAACACAGAACCACATTTTTCAATGTTAGTTGTAGTCAGGAAAAGGGTGTGGTTAATATGAAGTATTTGAGGAAGGAGGTTGTTCTGCTAAGAATTAACTCCTGGGACTAATATCACTAATTATCTTTTGGAAGGAAGATCTGGGCACATGGGTAAGTACAGGGGAGGCTTTCTCCTCTAGTGTGCAGAACTCAGGACTCATTGGTTCTGGGTCCAGGACACAAAAATTCCAAGAACAAATTTCACAGAAAAAGATCAGGTTTTAGGATGTTTTATTACTATAGAAAGGAAGGTTAGGAAGAAAGAGTAAAGATTTACATCATAAAAAAGTTCTCCTGAGAGCAGGGACTACCCTTTATGGGGCTCCAGGAAAGCAGAGAAGCCTGTTGAGCTGGTCATCTAGGAACTTTTCATGGGACTTATGGCAGAAACGGACAAAGACTGGGGTAATTTCTGTTGAAATTGGTTAGCTCTCTGGGCTATCATGAGCATAGCCATGTCCAATGGAGGGTCCACACTTGTGAATTTTAGTGGGGCTTGTCAGAACGTATACTTTAATCTGGGATGTATACTAAAAGTTCCCATGTATAATGGAACTTAACTGACTGAGCATATTTTGTTCTTTAAGATTTATTTTTAATTATGCATATGTACACACGAATGCAGGTACCTGCTGAGCCTCGTAGCGGTATTAGACGCCTCTGGCACTGGAGTTACAGGTGGCTATGAGCTGCCTGATTTGAGTGTTGGTGACTAGACTTGGCTCCTTTGCAAGAACAGTACATGCTCTTAGATGCTGAGCCATTCCTCCTGCCCCTATGAGCCTCTATTATTTTAGAAATGACTTCACCGAGTTAGTTATTATGTGATTTGCAACTTGTTCATATAGAGTGGCATTCCACATATAACAAAACAAGGAAAAACTCTCTTAGCACAGTGTGTTTCACAACATTGTTACTCTTAGAAAATTTGGAAACAGGTTTAATGATTGGTGGAGGACTCTTTTGTGCAGACGGCTACCACTTCCTTGCAGAGTCCCCAGGGAAAGAGCAGGTGGGTACCAAGACCCAGCCTAGACAGATCTCTGAACTCCAATATGGGCTTTAATCCTATTGTGAGTACCCCACCTTCATGACCCCATCTATATTTGACTAGCTTCCAAAGTTCCACCCCCAACACCAACACATTGGCACTTCAAGGCTTTGACGTGGGGGAGGGGGAACAAACACCAGTCCATTGCCAACAGAGCCACAAAACACAACTTCTGCTTTATTTATTCAGCAACTATCTGCAGAATGCTCCCTAAGTACCAGTGTTCTACAGTCGTGGACACATTTCATCTCGGTACCAACTTTGTGAGGTAAATACTACTATTTGCTCTCTTTGACAGATGAAAAACACAAGCAAACAGAGGTTTGATAAATTCCCAGCAATCATTCAATGGGTATGTGTTGTAGCTGGACAGTTAGCCCTGAAAACGCTCTGCAGGTGTCTCTCTAACTCAGCACCCGGAGAGCATCCAGGCAAAGGGCTCATCCTCCCTCATTCTGTGCCCTGTGGTGCTCACCTGGGACCTCCAGTCAAATGCCAACAACAGCAACGGAAGGAACAGGAAACTGACATGGAGACTGCAGTTAAACAGGCCGTGGAACAGTTTAAATAAAGAGCTACAAACATGTCAATAATTCTCTCTCAAGTTTCGTGTGGCGCCTCCTGAATCTGAGAGGCCCTGGGATGGTGGGAGCATGAGGTTTGGGAGGTCGATAGATAGTTCAGCCTAGGCTACATCAGACAACAACAACAGCAATAATGATAGTCATAAAACTTTCAGAGACTCAATTTTGAATACAGATATATTTTGGAAAAACCATAGTCCTTTGCACTTAAACCAGTGCCTTATGGCATCCGTGTCCCTCACAGCTTTCCTGTGGACTTTCCTTAGTCAAAAAAAGTTATGACCCATCACACAACAGGACAGTGATGGTTCAGGAACTATTAGGGTTTGGGAAGTTCCAGAGTTCAAAAGACAAAGAGGAGATTGATATATTGTTCTAAAATAAACACAGAACTAACCTTGACAATGATCTTTCTCCTCCTCCTCCCATGTTTCTCTGAGGAAAAACTCAGGCCAAATGTGACTTATTTAATATCACAAAAGTAGCAAGAAAAAGCAAACGTCCTCACACGGAATAAGAGACCATAGGTATATTTTTAAAGGGTGTGTTCATCTCAGACATGAATGCAATCTGCAAAACTCAAAAGACAGGGAAAGTTGCCATCCACCCAAACCGCTCTAGTCATAACTGGAGTCCTAAGCAAAGCAGCCCTCACGTGCTCAAAACGGGTGTGACCCACCACTCCCTGCGAGCTGAGTCCCTGGAATCCCACCGCTCCCCGTGAGCCCGTCACTCTCCAGCGAAGCACGTCACTCCCTCCCCTTTGGGACTTTGGGACAAAAAAGCAAAAATCCCAGAGTCCAATCCTTGGGAGTGGAGCAAGGGGCGGAGCGACGTCCTTTCCGGCTGTGGGGAAACACCCCGGAGCTCCGGGAATTTCCCTGGCCCGGGACGCGGTCTTTTCCAGGCACCATGCATAAAAGGGGCTCGCGGAGCCCCAGAACCCCAGACTGAGCTTCAGAGCCTCCAGCCAGCTACTGCACTCCAGACTCCAGCCACACTCCTGCTCAGCGCCATGGCCCCAGCCACCCGTCCACTGCTCCGTGCCTCTCTGCTATTGCTGCTACTGCTACTGGCCACCAGGCACCAGGTCACAGGTAGGACCCGCCACTGCTGTCCCTCCCTGGAGGAGCCTCTGCTGGGCTCAGCTGCCGACAGTTCCGCTGACACAGTGTCTTCTCCCACAGGGGCACCCGTCGCCAACGAGCTGCGCTGTCAGTGCCTGCAGACTGTGGCGGGAGTTCACCTAAAGAACATCCAGAGCTTGAAGGTGACGCCCCCAGGACCCCACTGCACCCAGACCGAAGTCATGTGAGTGTCTATCAGCGCAGCTTCTGCCACTTCCAGAGTCACCCAAACCCTCCTGCTGCCCCCATATCCATAAACTTCCAGCCTCACGTGGGTCCATCCTTCTCTCTGCAGAGCCACTCTCAAGGATGGTCGCGAAGTTTGCCTTAACCCTGAAGCCCCCATGGTTCAGAAGATCGTCCAGAAGATGCTCAAGACGTGAGTTGTGACTTGTGTTTGTTCTTGTGAGGGAGGCATGGGTCGGAGTACTGGCATCTCGCTGCTGAGCATTAATTACATCAGGGAATGTCTGTGTTGACCAGAAGATCAGAAAGTTATGGTCATTACTTTCATAGTTAAGCTTAACTTGAGATCATTAATTGGCTTTGACACTAGAGAACCCTGTCCGCTCGACTGTCACCACACTCAAAAACCCCAAGCAAAGGGATGGTGGCTTGTGTGTGTTCCTAAAAGATGAAGGAGCCCGTGGCTCTATGAAGTCCCTTAAGGGCCTGGAAAACGGGATCCTTGGCAAAGTGTGCTCCCGAGCCTTCTTGAGGAAGAAGGGAGCTTTTGGCAGTGTTACTTCTCTGCGTTGCAAGGCTAAATTCTTAGTTCTTCGTGTGCAGGTTACATAATTTATGGAATTTTAGCCAAGTAGGAGAGCTAATAGCAGCTGCAGCACAGGGTTGCGGTAGGAGTAAAGTCACACGTGGAAATTAACCTGTGGCGATGTAGTTTGGCTTTTTTTCAAGTCACGTGGTTGACTCCATAAGAATCCAAGTTTTAGCTGTACAGAGCTCTGGGGGCAGGGGGAGACATGTAGAAATCTCACCTAGAGTCTCGGGACTGGGGTAAGAGAAGAGTGCTTTTGATGACTGCTTGTAACATTGACTCTTTTCCCACTGCAGGAGCATCCGCAATTGACAGGGAAAGGAGGAAGATTGCCGTGGTTGCGCCAGTGAACACCGGCTTCTCACAGCACTGGCTTAACACATTCTATGGTTTTTTAAGAGAGTCCTATTTATTTATGTATTTATTTATTTCACAAAGCTCATGTATTTTTATTTGACATTAATATTTAACGATGTGGATGTGTTTTATCAATGGTTGTTCACTTTGAAGATGGTAGACTTATAAACTATCTTATTAAGGCCGGGTGGTGGTGGTGCAAGCCTTTAATCCCAGCACCTGGGAGGCAGAGACAGGTGGATGTCTGTGAGTTTGAGGCCAGCCAGGTCTACAAGTGCTAGTTCCAGGAAAGGCACCAAAGCTACACAGAGAAACCTTGTCTCGAAAAACCAAAAAAAAAAAAGAATCATATTAAACTAATATTTAATATTTATTGGGAGACCATCAAGAGTCAACCACCGTGATAGAAGGATGGGGGTTAAGAAAAAAAGCAGAGAGAAGAGAGCATATGACCATGTTTTGTATTAGGGTGAGGGTATGTGTGTGGACCTATGTTTGAATGCCTTGAAAAGAATGTCAGTTATTTATTGAAAGTCATCTTTCATATTAATAGTCAACATGGATGTGTTGATGTTTCCCTTGGACATTTAGTGTCTAGTCTGTAGGGCATAATGCCCTGTTATATTCTGTAACCAGTGTTTCTCTTTGTCTTGGGACAGAGAGGTTCAAAGAACTGTTACAAATGAAATAAAAATAAAAGTTTTAACAAAAAAAGAAACATGGGTGCTTTTTGTTTTGTTCTTTTTAACATCCCTGGTTTATATTTGATCCTGCTCTTGTCTGTGTTGGCTGGCATTTCTCGGGACTCTTGCCCACTAGAGAAGAAGAATTGATACTCCTGGAAGGCAATTCCACCCTCCCCAACCTCCTTGATAATTCTAGTATAATTCTATATAAAACATTGCCATTTTCCATACTGACCAATTTTCTATTCAAAAGGAGTTCCTTTATTTATTTTAAACATTTTTTGCCCTTTATTTTGAGAGAGGGATCAGGCTATGCTGCCCAGGCTGGCTTTGAACTCCCAGTCTTCCCAAGGCAATTAGGATATCTAGGCAATTCTGAAAATATGCAAAATTTAGAATTTAAAATATATGAAAGGAAGATAAAATAGAATAATAAAAATTACCTCAATCATGCATGTAAAAACCTAAAGAAATAACATAAGAGGTGCCTGAGGAGACAGAAAGATTCCTAAAAATCAGGCTTAGTTCCTCATTGCATGGGACTCTGAGTTGGAGTTGGTGGTTTGCTTTCATAGTCATAAGAAAAGCAGTGTATTGGAGAAAGTGTACAAGCTCCAAACCCTGCCATGTGATCAACACTACTATCACTAGTCAAGACTTCAGAATGGTTCTGGTCCAGCCCCTAATAGAAGGTGACAGCAAAGGAAAGGGCATATTTGTTCTCTTCTATATAATCCAGAATCTCACATAATGCAGGGAGCAGCAATCAAATTAAAAACTGGAGGGACGTTCCTCAAAATACCCAACAAAAACTCTTCAAGATTGTTCAGGTGACGGCAAACAAGGCTCTATCATTAACACAGATCAGAGGAGACAGAAGAGAGACAGAGAGCCAAATACAATGTGTGTGATGGATCTGAGTATGGAATAGAAAGAAAAAAAAAGACATAAATGGAATACCAGTGAAATTTGGATAAAGACCTGAGTTTAGTGAACAATGCACCAGGATGAGTCTCTTGCATTTGATAAATAAATCCACTATGACAGTGAAGCACATCAATAATAGGAGACACAAACCAGAATTTCAGAAGGGAACTCTCCCGCCCACAACAATATTCTCTAATTCTAAAATGATTCTAAATTTAAATTTTAAAATCCCAGCTTGATTTTGGACATTGTACAATAAATAAAACAATTGTGCAATAGACTTTAATGCAACTTTAATAAAATTACAACAGGGCCGGGCGGTGGTGGCGCACACCTTTAATCCCAGCACTTGGGAGGCAGAGGCAGGCGGATCTCTGTGAGTTCGAGACCAGTCTGGTCTACAAGAGCTAGTTCCAGGACAGGCTCCAAAACCACAGAGAAACCCTGTCTCGAAAAACCAAAAAATAAAAAAAAAATAAAATAAATAAAATAAAATTACAACAGACTTAACAAGAATTGATATTGTAATTAAAAGTAAAAAATCATTTGGCTGTGTAAACAAGATGAATAGTACTCCTTAGAGATTTGTCTTACATATTTGACTCTAAATAGCTTGAAATTAAGATAATTAAAAAAAATGTGTCCCATCACATTAAAACTATTTGAAAGGAATCCAACATATATCATCAGTTACTAATAATGCAGTAACTAATGTATGGTTGATACATTTATGAAGAACTGACCTATTAATGAATAAAAATACAGAAATAAGTAGTCGTGAGAGATTCAAATCTGATTCAAAATAAAAAGGGGGCAGTTGTAGAAGAGACAAAGTAATTTCAAAATTTTACAAATAACACTAAAATACATAAAGCAATTTGGAGAGACTAACGAAGAGTAGCAGACAAATCAGAATTCATAGCTGAAGATTCTTTTGGCCTGGTATGATGTTGGCATACACCTGTGTTTGGAGGGTCTGCAGTTCAAGACTTACATCGTTACATGGTGACCTAGAAGCCACCACAGGCTACATGAAATCTTGTCTTAAAACAACAGCAACAACAAAAAGTCTTAGAGATAAGGTGTCACTATACAGATAATGCTGGTCTTGACTAGA